AAGTACATGGTGAAAGTGAACATATCATAGACTCATGTACGTGCAACTATACTGCGAATTTTTCACTCGAGCTTCAACACGAGTTGCTTAGCGACAATGAACTCTAGAAGTTCGGACAAGATTGATGTGACGGGGACAGTTATGTGGTCGCGTGGGTCAGGATGACAATCCGACTGACGCAGAATGCAAGCGACAGTCCTTTTGCTCAACACAAGCAACACAAAGGATATCGTCCCGTAGCAAGGATGGCTTTAATCGTTGCTGCAATCCTGTCTGAGGTTGAGACATGCCAGCCAAAACAAATCCGGTGCTCGCATTAATCCATGTTATGGTCTAGGTATTTGAGAAGATAATAATCGTTGTACATGGTGTCTAGTTAGGAACCACCATGTCAGACCGACCAATAACACTACATTGTTCTTGCCGGGTGAGATCCATAATTGCCGTCGAGCGTCATACAATCTCCTGCTGTTGTTCTGAGCTTCCTTAGTCCTGAAAAGGATTTACTCTCTCATTTGTGATTCACTCTGTTCACTCTGCCAATGGCTTTATTTTTAATTCGGTCAATTCACTTTCTCTAGCTCGTGTGTGTGGTTGTGTGGCTGACGTTTAAATCTAGGAAGGAGAATCCATTGGCTGCGGAAACGAGCATGCTGTCCGAATTCACCGCAGACAGCAATTAAAAAGGCTGATCCGGTTGCTTCGCTGTCGCGCATGAATCTTAAATATCAGAATCGTCTTCGCCAATCTGTGTAACTTGTGGCATCAAAAAGATGCGTCACTAGGTGCCAAAGGCCGCGTGTGTTAAACCATACTGCGGGCTATGTTGTACCTTTGCGAGGAGTATATCAGACGTCTTAAATTCTGCGACCACAGATGCTTCAGAACTATGGCTAATACTTTTTTTCCCGGCGCCATTGTTCTGGTGGTTCACCTCATGGATGTGGAGTACTGGACTCGAGTTTTGCGTTATGAAAGCTAAAAAGGCTGACAAATATCGTATGTTTTGTGCTCACAAAGTACAAATTCATGCTGCGGGACATACAGTNCAGTCTTCGAACTCACTCCAATAATTCAGGCAGTGACCCTGAAATTTGTGAAACACTATACGTACCTCGGAAGTTGCGCCAGCTCTGATGGTAGTGTGACAGACGAAGTTAGCGCATGAATCTTAAATATCAGAATCGTCTTCGCCAATCTGTGTAACTTGTGGCATCAAAAAGATGCGTCACTAGGTGCCAAAGGCCGCGTGTGTTAAACCATACTGCGGGCTATGTTGTACCTTTGCGAGGAGTATATCAGACGTCTTAAATTCTGCGACCACAGATGCTTCAGAACTATGGCTGGAATTGACTGGTACCAGCGAATTCACAATGACGTGATCGGAAAGTGGGTGTTTGGTGTTGCAGACGTTACTCTACTCAAAGGAGTCATCCAGCACTGGAAGTTAAGGTGGCTGGGTCATGTATTACGCATGCCGAGTTACAGCCTACTGAGAAGAGCGTTTCTTGTGCTTAATTCGGAATGGCGGAAACCTAGAGGTGGACAGGACATAACATGGCAGAAAGTAATAAAGGATGTTACGATAAGTTTGGGCACTGGTGGTGTTGATACCTATGTAGGGCGGGATCCTGGTTGATGGGGGACACCGAAAGATATAGGAATTAGCCTATGTCAGTAGCATCCCTGCTGTTAGTTTTTACCTAGATTGTCTGACTGAGTGCTGGAGGTGTAGACACTTCGGATGTTTGCTGTAGGATAGTTCTAGGTCCCCTTCCATGTCCCATTTTTCTTCTTTCCAACGTAAGGCTTTATTCAAATGAACTGACATGGTTGTACTGCAGCGAAGCTCCAGCGTTTTCTGATTTTGTTGTCAGTGACGGTGATGTTCCTAGAGCTCAGTAGCAGTGCGTATCCTTAGTGGTGCCGGGAATCGAACTATAGACGTCGGACGTGCGAGGCGATCGGGTCACCACCACTACTTTAGCGCACTTTGTGCGCAACTGTATTACCACGTCTGAACAGACGAACGCGTTCGCTATTGAGCTATGTGGTTGATTCGTTCAATTCCTCGAACGACAATCCGGCAGCTGTCCTGAATGTATCGGTCGATTAACCCACTTGACCAGTTTGGGTGGAAACCGTCTGCATGAACTTCATTGTCATGGGTTGCTGGTCACAGCTTGAAGCTCCTCCCAGCTGGGGCGGCGGGTTGAGTCATGACAGTTGTATAGGGAACAGTTGAGCCAGAAACATTTCCTTTGATACATAAACTTCACCTCATCCACATTATCCTTTGCACCACCATTAAGGGACGTCGAGAATGGCAGTTTTCTTGGTAGATCCTGGTATTAAGTAAAATCCTGGCGACCAAAAATGGGTTGAAAAATATAGAAAATACCCCACGAGGACATTTATTACTGTGGTATCGCCCTGTAGAAATTCCATATGGATAATGTTGTTGCACCATCGACCTGCTTTGGTGTCTGCTCACTCAGATAGCTATGCAACACTTACTTCTGCTCCCTATGTCATCCCACCACTCTACCGGCAACATGCGGTTGACCGCACATTGTTCAATGTGGTACGACAGTCCGTAGTCCTTTCGTTTTCTCATTGCGCTATCCTAAATCGGGACCATATTGGTCCACCTTGACTGCGGTGGCGCTTTCACACAAAACACTGCAAGTTTGATGTCAAATCTGCGATTGTCTTCCGTGTCTGATCGATTATGTTCTGTTTTCCCCGAAGAAACTTCGTCTGACCCAACAAGACTGGTCTATCGTTTGGATGTATGCGGGTGACCAAATTGTCATTGTTTCACGCGGAATATCCTAACTGCAAAACCCGAGCTAGCTAGCGTGCAGCCTGTTCTAGCTACTTCTGCTGTAGTTTTTCCAGACGCATCGGTCACGTTACAACACAGCACGTTGTGTGTTTTGTATCGCCAACAGCGCTTGCGCCTACCCCGCTCGGTGCCTGCGTGACTCATCTGGCCTGCCCTACTTTGATAGCCTTTGCTCGGTTTGTTTACCGGAATTCCGTTATTCACTGTCCGTTTCGAATATCACACAAACAAATGAATTCAAACCTTGTGTTCCATCTCTGGATAGATTCCCCACCAGATCAGTTAGAAATGACCTTACTCTGACCGTAATGAAGCCCGACAAATATCGGGTCTATTTTTGCTGGAGGTTAAGTCTGTGTTCGGATCGATCGCTGTCACTGCTCAGTTTTTGTGTACAGTCCTGTCGTACCCATGTCGAACACTAATCGCGATCCGAGGGTCTTCATTCCTAGTATGTATGTTCTCTACCGCCCTTGTTCCTCCTGACTGCCTTTCTAACCTCCAGATTGATATAATGCGAATTCACCGGAATTTTTCACACGCCTCATAAAATTTTGAAATATGGGAGCGGGTTCTGCAAGCTTCCTCTTTACTCTTTACGTAATTTCGTTTATCGGTAACTGAGAGTATGCGGAATGTGTTACCAATCCCCCATTGACCGTTTTCCATGGCTATTGAGCTGTTCAGTTAGTTTCGACGGGCGTGCCGTCACACTTGAGTGCATCTTGTAGTCAACCCGACTGCAATCGCCTGGTCCAACAGACAAACAGTAGTTTGTTACTATGACACCAAGCGGCCATCTGGTAAGCTGACTAGCTGCGGTGACCGCATATGCATAGTGTATGCGTATGTCGAAGGCGAAGACAGTCAGTTTATGCGATGTCAGATTAGATGGAGTTAGCAGAAGCCAATCGAAGGTCGACGAAATCACGATGACAACAAATATAGCGATCCAGTCACTTATCAATCAACCCTGTATACAAACCGAGATGGTCGGATAATTGCGCGTTGATAACAGCGCAATGGGTTTAGGCTCGGCAGTAATAACCTCTCGCCAATTTTACGATTAGCCATCGCTTGTGAGACCACAGAACTCCACAGTTTCACCAAAAAACAATGCTGGGGGCTCTGATATATCGAATAAGGATATCACCAGGTGAAACAATAGAAGTTAATTGTCAGACTCCTGAAAATAATCGCAGGATATTCCAAGATTACTAGAATCTACCAGACAGAATCGCCCAAGAAAGGCTGCCACATCCCCAGACTTGAAAATGCCATTTGTTGATAGGCGGCTCGGGCAGCCCATCAAGCAACACCGATCGCACAGCCCGGATTCGAGGTCAGTTGTGAGCTTTTTAGGGAGTAGAAGGGGATTTCGTAGATATCAAAATGTAGCACAAACGAAAAGACACTGGGTGATGTTAAAGTTCGACCCAATTTGAAGGTTACACAAAAGACTCACTAGTGGCACTGACAAATATCAGCCGATAATCTGTTAGACAGTGGTGTGGCGGATCAGCTGTGAAGTTCAGGCCCATAGGCATGACGAAAAGCGAGTGCGCTATGGTAGCTCGGTTGGTAGCTTGGCTCTCCGGTGGATGGTGGATCGGTGGGCTGCCCCAAAGCGTCTTCATTGTTTGGATTTCTCTCTTAGAAAACGAGCTTCAAATACCACTACTCCCACTGTAATTTTGCACTCGTTTGTTCATAATAAACTGGTTGTTTTCCGTCATTTAGGTTCTGGAGTCGGGATTTCATTTAGCTGCAAGAGCAACCAACACTAGAGGAACAGCTTACATCAGGTGGCATATTCTTCTTGTTGAAACGCTTCCAGCTCCGAAAATAAACGCTAGAATCTGAGGGAACTTTGTTGCTCTGACTTCCTGACAGGATTGGTGATCTTAATGCATATTATTTCAGTTTAACCTTCAACCAAACTTTGTTAGAGGCATTGTAACTGGTGTTTTGTGCCTGGTGAAATTTGGATCATACCGTCTGTATACTCTTTAGAGCTGTTACGCCATATGCAGAACATTCCTACTCAGACCGCTTAGTTGGAACGTACCAAGAAAGGCATGTGGAAGAAAAGTCTATATCAGTTTGGTCAGGAGTGGGCTAAGTGTTTGGCCGAGTTTGGCAGTTGACTTACCTGACTGTTTGTTTTTCCCCAGACCACAGTTGATCGCACACCGTTTTTTCTTCCACCGACATTAAATAAGCTTCCGATTTTTTTTGACGGGCGCTAAATTTGAAAGAACTGAGTCTGTGGATTCTTCTGCCGAGTTGCAGTCAATTTATGGTTGTTCCTGGATTTCTTGTAACATTTAATTGTAAAACCTTGTTATTCTGGTCTGTCCTAGTAGGCAGTTTGTATTTGTAAAGCCACTTCGTATGTTGAAAGGTCGAAAGACTGAACTTCGATGCATGGGCCTTAGCATAAGCCTTATAGCAGGTGTTAATGCACACCGTAGTAGCAACGTGATGTGGTAATTGAGCTATACAGTTGGACGTTACAGGGATCAACACATCTCTTGGCAATTTTATCCGTCCGACCGAGTAGTGTGAAAAATATAGCAAATCGGACAATGCCCTGATTGTATCACTCCTCCACCTTGACGACCAGTGGTCATGCTCATTTCCATTCTGTCACTCATCGTCGGCTGGAACCCCCTTATTTCTGTGCTTTGCGTCAGCAGCAGTTGGCTTTTATTAAAAAAATCACCACTGGAGAATCCCAACGCCCATGACTGTATTCAGTGTGTGCTGTGATGCATGCTTTTACTTCCATATTCTCATGAGTCCAAAAAGGAGGAAAGATAACTACATCAAGCTCACCGCTGCAGGGTCTGTTGTAATTCGGTCGAACAACAGTGAGTGCTCTCTGGATCACATGACAGCTGTGTGCCAACTTCAGAAACCCGAACGCCATCCGACAGTCTCTCCCACTCCGTTGGTTAGGCGGAAGACGAGGGACATATAACGCGATCGATGCGTCTACGGACGTTGCGAAATAAAGCCGGGACCGGTAGCACTGATGACGAGAGAAACAACTGCGACAACGCAACAACGTAGACAATGCAACAACGTCAAGCGCCTATCTGGGCACTAGGCACCCGAATACAGACTCTGGTGCCGTATGGTAGTGTGGTCGCGGTGATAATGAGGATGCGCGTTAGTTCAGTACAGTTGCCGGTTACGTGTGGCCAGTAAGGGAAAGGAACTTTTGGAACTTCTGGCTAACTATCAGAGCACTAGCGGTTTAGACAACACAGCGCTACTGCCCTCCTATGGACGACTTTTCCATAGGGTTTCGCACAAAGCAGATTAGAAATCCGAATGATGTATACGGGAAGCTTCTCATCAGTATAACACTAAACACTATGAGCCACAAGGTGCTACAGAAGCACTAAATTTGAAGGTTTTTTAATCTATATAAATTATGACCATTGCAGTGCCGTGCAGTGGAAGTATGCCAGATTTTCAGCTCTACTGTTCAGACCACATAGATGTATTTTCCACCCTGTCAACCGACGAGTTCAGTTAGCATGTGGATGAAAAGGCTTGCACAGCAACGGGGAACTCACAACCGGAAAGGTGTTTCACCTTAAATGACTGTAAGCTGCACAATTATCTCTTCGATTCGGTGTTCAAATGAAGCGAAATCTCCTACAACATAACATAAGCCATATCTAAGGCCTGTCTGCTAATTAACCCATCTAGTGTGGTGCGTGAAGTGCCGATATGGTTCCTTTCTGTTCCTTTCTCTACTCCCGTTCAACTCAGGACATCACACAACGAGATTTTGTTGAATCAATTTACGATCAATATCGGTTCAGTAGGCTGACTATTGCAACACTGACACGCATTCAACACGGTCACCGCGTTATGGTCATAAATGCAGTGTTCTAATCCCTGAGAATCAATCACTGACAAGCTGTGTTACAGATACGAGCAAAATATTAGTTCATTTAAGTCGATTTTTATATAGGACGGTATTTTATGCTTACAGGACTGTCGGAACAAGCACCGGATGCCTTGAAGCAAAGCTGACTAATACTCCTGGCTAGTGATAGAAGGAGGAGACAGTTAGTGCTTTTACCAACCACGTTAAACATCACACAAGTATTAAGTTGGACCAGGTTCTTGTTTGCAAAAAACCTGAACGGATGTTGAGCCTTCTGTGACCAAGATATTACATTATGTGCCTTTCGGTGAGAATTTACAATTTGAACGTTTAGTGTTTGATCTGCAGGTTCGTTTATTCATGATTTATGGGATGTGCGAAATGAATTTCGCCACGAGGTATCTGTTGTTATCTGTAAGTGAAACAGTGAAGCATCACTGTCAACACCGATGTTCCTGTCTTTGATGATGATGATGATGATGAGGTATCTATCGCTTATTCATGAAATATCTCTCTTGTCTTCACTGATATTAGTCCCAGCCATATCTTTGGCTTCATCAAATTTGTTTAGTGATATTAACAGACACAGGTTGTCATATGTATCTCGTCTTCCGCCAGTGGATGAGAGTCTTGCAATCCAGAGAATACGCCCTATTGGTAGACCGAATTTCAATGGGTCTTGTCACAGTGGAATTGATCTGATCTCGTCTCTAAACTCGTGAGAATCTGGGTACAGCGCCACGTCCCAAAACATGGGATGATCTGTTGATGTTCGAGTTCTTCAGCTGTACTGTGGCGTTTGGTTTGAGCGCAACGATGGCAGCTTTACGAACTAACAAAGTAGTCAGCTGTAACCCTGTCGGTGCATATCTGCCATGTCATTCCAAGGGAGCATCAGAACTGAGATACCGTCAAATTGCCCAGGCATAGGTAGCAGAAGTCGAGATACCTGACTGACTTTTCGGTTGATAAGTTCGCACTTTGACCACCGAGTTCTCTCGAGCTCCTGATTCGTACAGAGGGCATCCAAGCTAGATGTTCATACATCGTTAGGGTTATCACTAGTGCTGATTTCAGGGCAGAGGTGTCTATGAAGATAAACCGGCGGTTGTCCACTGTTGAGTCAAAAAATAATATTTGTTCCTTTACATATTCCGATAGAGATCTGAAACTAGGTACTCTGGGTTGTCAAAAGATATGACGCACGTATATATGATATGGCCATACAGCGGAAATCATTCAGTCTATAGGCACCTTACCACCATACAACCAAAAATGATTGCTTTTTCTGTTCGCGGAAGACTGTTTTCGAGACAGGATTAGCAGACTTCACAAATGTCTCGGGTGCACCCTGCCCAAGTAATGTGATTACTGGGGTGTTACCATGTTGTCCAAGTTTCGGTACACGAGCCAACATGATAATATGAAATTACACATCCAGCATGTCGGCAGGATTTGTCCACACACCAATCGACGAACGGTTGCCACCAATCGTGGCATCCGTGTTGGTGTGTTCCTCAGACACTCACCTGCATTTGTTCTGCGGTTTGCCAAGAACCTCGTCGCCCAGACTAGTTCCCTTTGTTTACATTTTGACTGTGCTTTCCATTCCCAATTGTTTCCTCAAACATTGTTAGGAAAGGGAAGTTTTACTTACTGTCTCAAAGGATGCATTGTCAAACAAATAGTTGGATCGTATAAAGTCTGCACTGCCATTGTTGATAACTAGATTTCGGCCTGAAATACAGACAAAGAGAGTGATCTCTCTCTTTATCTTGCCAAATTCTGTGAGCTAATATGATTACAAAGTCACAGACCGGTATATCCCAGGGTTTCACTTGAAAAACAAATTTTCTTTCTTCTACTGTAGTCCCTTTTACTGTTCTGAATCGGTTGTTAGTCGCGCGTCGTCACCTGGAAATTCTATTCTCATCCTGCCTCACTGTCGCAACAGTTTTTACCCAACTTGGAATTTGAAGAGCTTGGTGCACTCGGAACAGACCCATATAGGCCATGTGACTCGAGTGGAAGAACTCCCTTCCTTTCTCATTAGTATGCACCAGCATTCATTAATCACCGTAGTACTAGGCCCACACAACTTTTCAATTCCCCACGATGTAAGCCCGACTGATCCCACTCGAGAAGTAGGCTTGTTCTTTAACCGGTTTTCTAACATCTTGTTTTTGTAGTGAACAAACTGTTTCTTCAAAAAATATTGTTAATAAGGCTGGTTTGGTCTGCTCACAGTAGCTTGGAGCAGATTTAGTCCGGCACATCCTCTGGTTAGACATTATTCTAATTAAAGTTGATATCTCAACACAGCTCTAGTTAATCCAACTAGTGGGTACTTCCTCATTGTGACAAATGGTTGGGTGTTACTTCACGGTTCTCTTATTTGCAAGTCTAGATCGAGCCATATATCGTATTAACCTATTCAAAACCGCTACTCCTCCCCGCTTGATTCACCACGGATGAGATGTATTCGAGCGTACGCTCCATATTTTTTGGTCTTCTCTTGCCTGAACGAAAAAGCCCATGTATTAGATCACGAGATGTCAAGGGTTGGCTGTTGCGGAGGTGCGGGTTTTTGTTCCTGGCGTTGAGGTATGTGAGACGGCTGTCCTCATAGGCAGTAACATCAGTGTTGACGCAGGTGCTTCACACCCGCACAACCACCGGAAACAAGCGAGCGTCTTATAAAAGATAGAAAATGAGTAGTGCATTACGCCCATGCTATATATCCATAGACCAAGCGAGGGTCGTTTCTTTCTGTTGGTGATCTCCATGGACAGCTCGTCTAGATGAGGACAACGCTAGTTTCCATGCTCTGTATATTGAATATTGGACAGGTGATGGTATGACGGAACACCATGAAAAACCACCATGGTTTGTGCGATTTTTTAGGGAACGTACTTTCGCAAATATCGTCGGAATATGGTTGGATGTAGAGGTCAGAGGAGTCATAAACCTTGGATGACATTTCACGTCGACAGCACATCGTATTATGTTGTAAGAAAACAGAATATATTTTTATTTATGTGCTGCATTTTCCGATGTACAGTATGACGGTTCGTTTGGTTCTATTCTTGGTCCGGTAAAACCCCTGCGGAAAGAGTACCTTTAAGGGGCGAATTTTAGTTGCTCCCTCATAGCTTCTTCAGTGGTACTTCAGTGGTAAACGACCTTCTATGACAGACCAGCTTGCAGAAGAAATTGTTCTATTGTGGATCCCTAGCGTACAGTTGTGTTCCATTAAAGTGGTCAATGTTTAAAAGAGATCACGACTGACTGATTTTCTAAATTTTCCTCCTCAGAGAGAGAGAGAGAGAGAATGCAATGAGGTTGTTCGCACCTGCAGGGGTTCATAATAGCTGGTGTCGCTCGTTTTTTTGTTGTCTTCCAGAAGGCTCTTAACCACTAGAAGAACTGACAAAAAGCTAGCCAATAGTGATCCTATCTGAGAGCTGGCCTCTACAGACGATTGAAAATCATACTATAGAACAACCAGTCTCCTAAACGAACAATTTTATCCTTGGCCTTCGGTCAGTTTCCTCATTGGTGCACTCATTCTGTTTTTTCTAACCTCCTCAGAGAGAGAGAGAGAATGCAATGAGGTTGTTCGCACCTGCAGGGGTTCATAATAGCTGGTGTCGCTCGTTTTTTTGTTGTCTTCCAGAAGGCTCTTAACCACTAGAAGAACTGACAAAAAGCTAGCCAATAGTGATCCTATCTGAGAGCTGGCCTCTACAGACGATTGAAAATCATACTATAGAACAACCAGTCTCCTAAACGAACAATTTTATCCTTGGCCTTCGGTCAGTTTCCTCATTGGTGCACTCATTCTGCATTCTGTTCTTTTCGCGCGAGAGTTGCGTACTACGGAGATGTACGGAGGTGTCTTTTGAAGAGTTGGCCGATTTAAATTTTAGTATGGGGGATTGAGTTAGTTTGAGAAACTATTGTAAAGTTTCCAGGTAGATCTAGTTCGTAGGTTGCTTTGTTGTCCTATTCTTTGGAAGTTTATACTAACGTATTTTTCCCTACCATTGTTCACTCGATTGTTACGTTCACTCGTGGATTCAATTCTCTCTTGAACGAATCAGTGTGGATGCACTCGCTTTCACGTTGATCGTTTTCAAACAAAAGTCGCTAGTTTGAACAACGGCTTTCGTGAACGGCAAATGCTGGCCATGATGTTTGTGAATCCAAGTTTAGTAATACCCCAGAATCCAATGCAAGGCTTTTCTTTTGCCCTATATGAGTTTCGCACAGTACCGCTACGCTACCATAGTATCACCGGAATCTGTTTCCCTCTCGACGGAATGTTTGAACTCCTTTTTATCCGTACCGTTAAAGCAGTAAAATTCCTGTACAGCAATCCTTCTGAGGGGGACTTCAATGGAGAGAATGGTGTTTAGCCTTTCCTCCGGGTTGGCTTTTTTGGCTCTTCCAGGTGGTGGGCTCTTCTCGGATTGATCCCGATGTGACCGATTGCACAATACTTTGTGGGTTAATTTCTTTTTATCATCTCGTGTAGTGGCAGAACATGATCCATCAGTTCGACTCACCCAAACGATATGCACGTTCTTCGCACTAATAACAAATAATTATTCAGCCGTAGCCCCACCTCGACTGCCACGCCATCCAAAGGAAGCACAAGGGCACTGTTAGGGTGCTCAATTCTAACACAGGCAGTTCGGGTTCGAACCACAAACCCTCAGGTCAGTAGGTTCGCAGCTTAACCACTGAGCCCTCTTGAGCTCGTTCTGCGCACTGCTGATGTATGGGTTTAGCAATTGTCATTTACATCACAATACTGAATTGAACAAGAGCTAAGCTCACCTATGCATGATACACTACTCTGTTTGGTAAGCCACGATATTCGAGTCATCGCACGGTAAAATTAACCATTTCACGGACTATCAGTCCGTTCCAGTTTGTCAGGCCACTCATGGAACCCTCTGGTCCGCCCTGATTGCGCAACCGATTGCTGTCTCCTCAGTTTCAGTTTGCATTCGCCAACGGCCAAGAATTTTTTAGCATAGACAAATATATACAATCTCATCATACACACATACAAATTCAACGTTGTCCATAAGTAATTGCAAGTGTGTTCAGTTGTGAATTGACACTTTGACATTCGATCAAAAAGAGGGAAACTAGAAGATCCGTTCCCTCCAAGGCAACAGTAGGTACCTTTCTCTCTCACACATTTTCATTCTTTTCGTCCAAGTCTTCATTCTTCATTGGTTGGTGCAGTTGTCTAACATTTGATCATCGGTGTTTCGCACTTGTTTTTTTCCATCGACGATGATTTTGCTAAAATTCACTCCAGCATTTGCTACCGTATTTACAAACCGTTGCTTCTTAGCTGGATGAACGCTATTAATAATTAGCGCTCTGAATATTTCCGGTAATAGAACGTTTATCAGTGAACCCAGTCTTTTGCTCTGGTAGTTGTCTGCTAGCATTGATGATTACCGTCAGTTGTTCTTGTCTGAAACGGGTTTCCTTAAACTAAACGTCTATGTCTGTTTGTTGATTGAAGTAACCTTGCATTTAAGCACTACCTCTTTTGGTTAGTTAGGAGTTTGGACAGGCGTGATAACTAGCAACTTTTAGGGCGAAAAAACCCTTACATCCAAATCAAAACCCATGGCTTTCCACAGATGCGCGCTTTATCCTCACTTTGTTACTCACTGTCCTTCAAAATGCTTCGGCAATGTCGGGCCCGCTGCTTTCACTCGGATACATGACAAACGACGCCCATCGGTTGCGTACGGCAAGGCTACACATCACGTGACTCTGTTTGAAACCAGTGACCTCCCGATCGATGTGAACCACGGGCGCCGGACATTCTTTTGGTTTCCGCTTTATTTGGATCTTTTTTGTTCTATCCCTTTTTCACGACCGTGATTCACGTGCACTATGGGATAGAAGGCTACCTGTGCTGATTTGGATATAATTCAAGGCTTAGATGAACACTATCTGAAAATGCCGTCAAATCATACAGTGAGTTATACCACACTGCCCAGTTTCTCAAATTCAATCAGAATAATTTCACCAGTGGACCACTAGGTCTAGTGATCGTGTTTGGTGCGTCATAGGTTCACCCCAATATAGATCCTTCAAATATCTACTTGTGCGAATCTCAGCCTGTCTAATACTCTCGTAAACCGTGTTCCAGAAGTAAGTTGAGCCAGTTAACTCCATTCTGCAAATGTATCGGCCAATCTTCTGTGTTTTCTTGGAAAATTATTGTATTACTAATACAGTTCTTTACACAGGACACGTTCGACCAGTGTTCGTGGTAAATGAACATTATTGGTTACCACAGAGATAAGAGGTACGTACATACAACTTTCAACCCAGATTCGGTACATAAACTAGCCTGGTTTCCATTGATAAGAATGATCTGAAACTTTTGCGTGCACCGTTTAATGTTAGTCGACTTTTCTCATTTTCGTCGTTGGATGCAGTCCGCCGGTACTGTCTGGTTACACTTATTGTGTGTTTCTGTCAGCCGGGGTATGTGTTCTTTCAGTTCTTTCCATCGAGTTCAATTGCATAGAAAAATTGCTTACATCGCGCTAGCCACTGGACTCACTCTGTCCATCATTTAGCTTGTGAGGAGTGGTAGTTCCGTGCTGAAGGTCGATGATCTCATTAGTTATCCCTGTATGAATGTCAAGCTGTTGATCAGGTGGCGGTCGATCTGTTTTCCGGGCTTGATAGCTGGTTTCCTGCGAGAACACATCAAATAACACCTGATCAACGGTCGAAAAACACGCTCGGGTTACAAAAATTTATAGATTGCCATGCTCAAGATCTCTCTGATCATCCTTCTGGTGAAGGACTCAGCAACTTAGTCAATTCGTGTCAAAGGCAGTCGGCTTTTGAACGTCAGCCCTCGATTCGATTTTCTCAGTTCTTGTGACCTTATGCTTTGTGCAATTCGTGACAGTTAGTTTCATCGTGCGAAACCTGTACTTACCGGATGACCATAGTCATGATTATTCATTCCACTTCGTTATCGTCTGCTCTAGAGATCCACTCAAGACTTCAGTTTATATTCAACATTTAGGTTTTGGTTCTTGCTTCTTCACTTCTCTCTCCATCCTCACCCACCTGAATACGCTTTGTACCAACCGGTTTTTCAACGATTTTCGAAAAATTTTAATTTCGCACATCGATGTATCTTGTTAGTTATTTCATGTTATGTGCTAGACACCCCATTTTCGCAGTTTGGGAAATTCAGGGCCTTCAGCTGCTATCCCTCATGTATACCTATTTCGTTTTCATTGTTTTGGTGAGTGACCTGTTTTGCTTCTCTAGGGATGTTTGTGTATCAAATGTGCTTCAATTTTCCATCAGTCCCACCGAGGAGCAGCGTGTTTGTAAATTCGCAAACCACCGCGTCAATTCCGCCTTGAAATGGTTTTGAATTCCATATTGGCTTATCGTTGAAATTCCCATCAGAGTCATTCCGCTGAATCGCGGACCCTAAGCAATCCCGGAAAGTCCTTTTCAAATGGATACTTTGTCGTAAAGGGGATACAACACCATTCATCCTTGCCGACTCTCTCCCGGTTATTAGTACCTACTCATCAACCTGTATGTAGATGAGCCCAGGTTGCTAATGCACCGTTGCAGTGTTGCATCTTTAAAGCGAATTGTGGAGGCAGACGATGAGTGAAAATAAATCATGGTTGGGTCTATCGCGGAACCTAGCAATCCCGGAAAGTCCTTTTCAAATGGATACTTTGTCGTAAAGGGGATACAACACCATTCATCCTTGCCGACTCTCTCCCGGTTATTAGTACCTACTCATCAACCTGTATGTAGATGAGCCCAGGTTGCTAATGCACCGTTGCAGTGTTGCATCTTTAAAGCGAATTGTGGAGGCAGACGATGAGTGAAAATAAATCATGGTTGGGTCTATCCTGTCTCAGGCCGGTCATCAGCCGAGTCAAAGTCCGGTATCTTTGGTGATGCGTTCGTGTTTTTGTCCTCATTTGTCTACCATTTAAGTGTAACAGGTGAGACGTTGCAACTGAAAGGTATGCATTATCCTGAGTTTGGGAGACTTGTTTTTGGGTCTTCCATAGCGTAACGGAGCCAGTCAATGTACAAGCATTCCTTGAAGTTCTGTACTACTGCAAGGAACCAGCTTTGGTATCAACTCGTTTAGTGATCACTCATGCGGAGGATTGAGAGGAACACAACTCGGATTGGTATCTGTCCTTTTCTGGATAGTACGCTATTCGAATGCAGACAGCTGTTCTTTCGTTACGGAATATTCCAAAGTTGAATCGCAGAAAGCGTGGAAAGTGAAACTCAGTGGGATTCACAGATGGTTGGAATACATGAGAGTAAATTGGGAGCATAATAGCAGAATATATACTTACTCAACTAACTTATAACTACGACAAATACACTCATTTACATGCTTATTTGGGTTGGAGTTTAACCGGAACATAAGGTTGACGGAAACTCGGGGATGGCGCCCGCATGATGTATCTAAAGATGGGCAAAACCGGTCGTTGGCTGTCAAAGGGTTTTTATTATAACCTTCCGACTAATTTTTCAACCTGTCGCGAAACCTGCGACTTTTGTTACGCTGTCACAAAACAAGGTGGTGAGTTTAGGAAATGAAGTGGGTCATAGCACTTCTACGCTGTCTAGTTAGTTGTAAACTACGGACGCTATGGCTTCGTTTGTTAACGTCATGAAGAACGTGTAGAAGGACGAGAGAAATTTTTGAAGAAACTACTCTACCGGACACCCTTTGTTCTCTATAAGTGTCCCTTAGGGGTTTCGCCTTATGAGCAAATGTATTCGAGTACATTGAGACTGCTGCTCACTTTAGGGCGCTAATAAATAAATGAATATACGTACATATTTAAGTATATATGTGTATACTCATATATACATATATATATATATATATATATGTGTAAATACATGTATATATAAATACAATTTTATACACTATATTTAATTGTGGGCGCTTTCCCCAATCCCGAAGGTATATGTGAGCATCTCAGATATGTTTCAACCAGTTGTGGATATCTGCCGACACTAAACTGATTTGATACCTTGGACGGAACTGAAGCAGTCATCGACAGTCTTAAAAATTCTGAATTCAATCGACTTGCTCGGATGTCCGTTCTGCAACAATACGCATGACGAAGGTGTTTGGGTGTACGTGGACGAAAAGCACGCGAAAAGTGCTGATAAATCAAGTGGTTGTTTTTTGCGTGTTAGCTGACTACAGTACGCCCCAAGAGATGACAGAATTGCTGTTGGATAAGAATATAACGGGGCATGCATCATGCTACACATTCGGACAACAGTTTCATTTCTCATAAGTGGACATTTTTCACAATATTGGCGTTTCAGAGATATTGATAAAATCCCACGCTGTGGTGCTGTGGCGTGGAGCTTTATTCGGCGTAAAGCAAACATTTTGTATTCAGTTGGGTTGATTAAACCTAATGCCGTTGCCCGGTGTAGCTGACAGCATATAATTAGCTGGACGGACGTTTCATGTAGGTTCATCAGAATTGGTGTCTTGATTATTCCTGCGCCGTTTCGCTCTCAATATGCCGACCTTCCTGAGTTTTCGAAATAGCTTTGGGATGCAGGGATAAATAGCATTATTTCAGATTTTTTTCATGCGGACGAGAGGTCATGTCATCGCACGCTTGCTTGGGGTTTTACTCGTGGACAACGGACAGGAACACAATGTTCAGCACTAGAAAAGCGCGTATATTTCCAAAGCGCAAACTCTAATCGGGTTGGTACGATATGTTTTTATCTCAGGTCAAAATTATCTTGAAACACTCCGAAGGATAAGTTTTCTCCACATACACCCTTCTAACTAAACAGCTTGATCTATTTCCTTTCCATTGGTTAAATTATGTATTTAATAAGATCGGAGAACGTTAAATCAAGTTTCATTGACATCGAATTCCAAATGGGTTTAAAGGGATCTCAACGTTACTGAAGTATCAAATGTACATGTTTCTCATCATCGGTTTGATTGGAATAAAGTCTTCCTAGAAGAGCGGAATACTGCAGTGGAGGGGGCTGTGTTCTTGCCTCAGAACGATAAATCAGAGTCAGAGGAGACGAGTCGCATGCTCATCTGGCATGACAGATTGCCTCACGGTAATCTAATGGAGTACCGTCGAAACCCATATATATATATATATATATATATATATGCATGTATACATATATGCTGGCCACCTGGTAGAAATTTTGACTCCCCTCACAATCTTATCACAGAGGACAGTATGACTACCCCCAGACTGCTTCTCAGTGCGTTTTTTGCATTTCGGGGACTTGCTCTTCTCCGTCGGTGTGCTTTCCTTTAGCATTGGTTAAGCCCTAATAAACTGAGTTCCAACTAGTGTAGACCGCAGGATCATTGCAGTTATGAAGTTCTATCCCCACGGCAAAGTGGGAGCTTTAGCACCGGTCCGATTGCTTCAATTCGCTCCATGTATTCATCATTAGCTGTAACGTGCACACTGTTTCAACAGGTAGCACAAATCAAACGCGACACCAAAAGATGTCTATACGAGACATCTCATTAGAGACGTACGAGGTTGGGCGGATTCTAACTGGTTATGATCGCACCGATCATACTGACCATTTTGCTGAGTGGTTGTGTATATTTCTCTCGTTATCGACCAGATACATTTCTTTTTGCGAACCCCAAAGAGAACGCTGCTAACCGAGCAGTCGACTGTTAGGTCCCAAAAATATCTGCAATTTTCCCTTATTGTCATTTTCCTCGCTGGATAAGCCCCTCGCATAAGCCTGGATGATATCCAACCTAGCATAGCGTGAATGTTGGCTAATCTAAATCTCCTAGTCCGAAAATTCGGTTAGTGTGAATTTGGGTTTTTCTATAAGGATCACAGATCGCTTCTGTCCATGGCACATTAGGCCGGGCTTCGCGTGGCAGTTGATGTTTCCTGATATCGTGGTGCTGTACAATAGTGTACCATTCACTCTTGATGAGGTTCGGACAACCTACCCAGGGACAACAGTCTTATGCAAACAGTAGCTATACACACTACCAAATAGAGTGTACCTCCGTCAAACGCATCTGTGCTTCTACGTGAATTGTCCAAAAGGATCTCATTTTATTCGAGGGAATAATTTCTGTGGCGTGGATTTTCGTCCGTTGCAATCCACCTGAAGGAAGATATTGCAAAATCAAACGTCCTTAGTCGCGAAAGGGCTCATTCAACCTAAATTTTATTCCGCTAGGAAGCGCCGTATCTCCGGTATGCCTTATCACGCGAAAATGTCATCTGTTACTAACATTGTTGGCATTGAAACACATAGTAAATAGATTTCAGCAGCTTGTGCTACCCTATTCTTTATCGGGTTCACGACACTAATCTTGTCAATTAGAGTACAGATTCCGCATATAGTTCTTTGTTTGTTTGAATATGGGGAGACTTGAATTATTCATACTAATACACTCATGTTTAAGTTACATATATATGCCTTTAGGGCGTTCATCCTGACCTAAGTGAAAGATTGTCACTAAACATTCGCAATCAGGTCTCCTCTAGGAGGGACCCATTGGAGGTGTTTGTTCATCTGAATAACGTCGTTTTGTTATTCTAATTGTAGGTTACAGGGGCGGGTGCACCACCGAGGAGCTTTTCAACAATGAATTTATATGCCTTGTCCAGCTCCTCTTCGTTTCTTGGTGATACCCCGGCCAACATGGGCCCTAGTGGTGAGGTGATGGATACTGCGAATCGACCTTTCCTGCTCACCGCAACCATTCCAACCGAGGCGCTACACTCTGTACGAGACGATCGAATAGACGTTTCACGGCCGCGTGTTCCCTCCACCCAACAATTTGAAGACCTATCAAGGATGATGTCCGCCACAGTCAGTAGTGGTGGCATCCATGGTCCCAGTGCACGCCGTCTTATGCACTTACAACTTCAACAGCAGCAACCTCAACCAGAATCCGTGCAGGATTCTGCCTTTACACACCAGTCATCACCAGCTTCAGCGCCTAATGCCGGTACTGTTGTTTCTCAGGGTAACCAGCGCCATACCACTGAGGGTTCCCCCACTCCTCGCACAACAGGAAGGTCTAGTTCGGATCACCGTTTAGCTAACACAACTCCAGAAGGTCGCAGTCCGCCTTCTCGCTCACCGACTGCAGAACAATCCAGCCGCGTTGACTCCATCGAACAGGAGAGGACAACCAGTCGCACTGGCGCTCCTGCAACTGCCCGATCAAGCGTCAGTCGCGGTACCTCCGGTTCTCGGCAGGAAAATGGGCCGAAGCCAGGCGGCTCATTCGCCAAAAGCGTTCGAGGTGAGCCTTTCTCTCAGCGCAACAAATGTTCGCCCGATGATTGTGGTTTATCTGGATAACAGGCACGAGATTATAACCGATGACTTCGAACTCCGAGATTGTTTGCCCTGATGGATCGCATGATGATTTTCCTAAATATAATCCAGCATGCCACGCCTAAACCGCAGCACCGTTCGTTGGGGGCTAATTCAGCTCCAGTTTACTGGAAACAATTATACTGAGGAAACTACCAGCCGAGTTAAACATTGGACCGTTGCTGAATTTGACTGAAATAGCGCCTGATCTGATTCGCAGCGTTTTCAGGTGCGCTGGTTTGGCACCATCACTAAGACACCGACAGTACGCGTCCACTCGTATTTCAGCTAATAGTTTGTTGCACACACCCATTGCAACATATTCACCCCTAACTTTTCAATCGTTTTGCCTAAGCTTGGATATCCTAGTTCCTTATCAGCTTTCGTCCTAGAGCTGATTGGTGTGAAATTTCAGCGGGTCACCGGCTGTGCTGAACCGCACCGCCAGCCACATTACAGTCCAGTCTTGTGGAGTACTGTTATTTGTACTGATTGTTTTATTTGTTGCCTAAAGGTACTTTTCCAGCCGGACTATGTGAATAGGTTTCAAGATTTTCAGAAGAATCGACTTAAAACCGTAGCTTTTTTCGGAGTGCTCAGCAAATTCACATAGGGGTAGCAGGTCATGTGGTCGCTTACGGTTTCAGGCATTGGTTAATTTAGTAGTTTTTACGGACACTACGCACGTTCAACTCCAACTAAAGTAGGCTTAACAAAATAGCACAGTGATCTACGAGTATACGTGAGTCCGACGTCAGAGGGGATGTATGTCCCCATTGCGTTAGTTGCTTCCGATGAAGTCCTCATGATCTGCATTGGTTAGCGACTGCAAATGTGTTGTAGGCTCGATTCGTAGCAATTAATTTTCTTTTCAGCTACGTTATTTTGGTCGGCCAGAATTGAGATTGCACGAAAGTGATGTACCGGCATCTTGTTTTGTTGATGCTGGTGGTATTGACTGAACCCAGTTTTATAAAAATGTGACATTTCAAGTCGTGCGGTGATCTTGCCAACCAGTCGTCTTTACCCTTACTTTTACACATCCAAGCTTGATGTTTCTCAATGGGAACAGGTCGGTAGAGAGGTTGAGAAGAGTCGCCCTATCAATATGGGATTCGTGATTCCCCATGAACCCACCTCATTAATGGGCAATCCGTTGATTTTCCTGGCCTATGAGTGTACAGTGGGCTCTCTAGAACTTTCATACAAAACGTGGTGTCTGGCAAGGACATCCAATTCCTCCATTCTTATTCATCTTTGTCTTCGATGAAATAACAAAGCAAGCTCTGGAAGCTCTTCAAAACCTCAGTGTTCAAATAGTTTTTGATGTAAACATTGTCATTCTAGAGTAGGCAGATGACACTGCCCTCATCTTTGAGGATGGAGGCGAAACACAAGTTCTGTTGTATTTTTGCGAGACATGGTCTCTGTAGCAAGACAATATGAGTTTTTCGGAGGTTTTTGACCACCGATGCCTCATAAGTGTCGCTGGTATCGGATGACGTTAACGAAGTGGCAACGAGCTAAGTTGAAAACGGGTATTTGGCTGGGCAGCAGGCACATCGGTTGCGGACGATGCCTCAAAGTGTCCATGGTATCGGATGACGTTAACGAAGTGGCAACGAGCTAAGTTGAAAACGGGTATTTGGCTGGGCAGCAGGCACATCGGTTGCGGAAAATATCCAGCCGCTGTGGGTTAGTCGTGTGTTACGCGTACCGAAACATCATTTACCGAGACAAGTGTTGTTTTCCGTGCTGACTTCAGAATCGCGCAACCCGCGTTATGGACGAAGTATGACTTTTTAGAAGAGTGTGGAAAAGATTACGAAGAGTTTCGATTGTTGTTGGTACGGCGCGTCTTGTAGGAAGAAATGTCCACCAGTCAATGTCTGTGACGTTCCTGCTGTTAGCTTCTCTCCAGATTGATTGAGCGCTTGGTGGTGTAGGTACCTCAGAATGCCCTCCCCTCATCCGCTCTTTTCTCTCTTTTTTCACTCCAATGTTTTAAATATAATCAGATGAAATTTGTGATTTGTGGTTGTACGGCAGTGAAGCGTCAGCATCAACACAGGAGTTGCTGTTACTGGTGGTAATGATCAGAAAAATGGACACTAAGCACTACCGTAGGATACCGAAGCCCCACGAATGGGCCCTCCGTCGAAGAATATTCCAAACGGGAGATTCAGCTGGGAATCAGTTGACTCTATCGTCAAAATTGAATTAGTTTGCAAACTCTAGTGCTGCGCCCACCTCGCATATCCCGAGAAGGGCGAAACCGGTAATAAGTTGTCGAACTGTTACCAGCAAGCCTGTGAGTAGTCTCCGATCGTGGACTTCTTCATATTCGCTTCTCTATGTTATTTAGTGTGCTGGACACAAGTCGAGTGCTGGCCGCCCAGTTAATACTCATCAGCCTTTCGATCGATCTGATTAAATTTAAATTGATATTGAGTTTTTTCCATCTGTGCATCAGCTGAAAAGTGCGTGCTCCCTAATGTACTTGTATGCCTTCATTTCATTTTGATTCGACTTTTGGGAGCGAAAACCCAGGTTGCAGAATCCGGTATCTATGGGATGATCAGTTCATTTTTTATTCCTTTTCGTATGATGACTCAAGATATCAACTATCCGAGCCCTGAGTTCCGTGATTGTGATGCTGTCAGGTGACCACATACGGCACTGCTGTTGCTGTCGATGACGCCCATTATCTATTCGGGCGTACGTACCAACAATTTATAGGTTGAACATAAAAGAGACACTATCTCTGCCTTATTCTGAATCGTTTTCATTAACTCAATTTTGTCAAACTTCCGATGAACACGTACATCACCGGTCCTTTGGAGAAGAAATCTGGAATCCAAAATAAATATAAAATACAAGCAAAGTAATAAACAATGAGGATCGAAACTCTAATCCACTACTTCGCCCCCATTGAACCAGCACTCTACTGTTTGGACATGACTTGGAGCGGAATTCGGGCCAACTGTACGGTTCTCTCTTATTGGTATGCTCTTACGTTATCCCTTCATCTCGCTAGGTTTCAAAATATTGAACCTCAGGGATAAGCATTAGAAACCATCACGGTGCGGAAATTCCTCACAAAGCTTTCCGTTAGTTAAACGCAGCCCAATATTTCGGCGGAAGACCTACGTTCCGGTGCTGCTTTTGCCTAGAACAGATCATGCGTTGTTGTGGATACCCTTTTGCATGGACGAAAACTCCTCATTTATGAGCGAAATATGTTTTGAAAATAAGCATAGGGCGCATCTTATTATTGGGAACTGAAAATATATTGTCTACCGGTTACTGATAATCAGTTTCCACTGTACTGACCAGCCCTTGTTTATGGTTTTCATCTCGTTCCATGATTATGCACAGACTATTGCACTCATCCTTTCAGCTTGGTCGTACGAGCACACCCTAGGTCGGTGGTGCCGTACAACAAAGGCGCGATGTGTTGAGTTGATAGGTAACGCCGTGGAACTATCAGGCTAACAATCACGCACACGTTCTGCTTTTCGTGTGCTAATGGTACTGATCACCATATTGTATGTTCGATTTCTCTTTACTGCACTGATACCCCGTATTTGTATACAGAAACAATGGTTGGTAACCACCATATAGGTGGTTTCTGGTAGGTTCGTCATTCGACCCCCAAGGTGTTGTGGTGCTGCTTGTGTGCCGTTGTAGTATCCTCCGTCGTATCAGCTGCAGGTCTGCGAAGAGTTTACTAGCGCAATAATCCCAAGACACACTGAAGAGCGGTCCCCAGCTGGATAGGCCGCACACCGCCACATTCACCGTAGTGTCTGTTTCGTGGACTGCTGTCCTATGTCACTCAGTTTGACAATTCGACAGGACGAGACAATGAGTCTGCCATCAGACGAAATTCGCTGGTGCAACTCATGTGGGTCGGAAGTTGCAATATATCTAAAGAGTTGCCCATTTAACTTCGGTCATATGCTAACAATAATTGGCTGTTTTGTGTGCCTGCCTTTGGGCCGAGGATTTGAATCGGAGGAATTTACCATCTTACTGTGTATTTTTGAGCACCGAAGGGATGTACCAGTTATACTACGAGCATGAACCTCACAACTAAAACTTATTTCAGTGCCAGAGTTCATTTCCACACGCCGTCAGTTGGGATTTTATCTATCCGATATGTTAGGTAGGATAAAACATAATGCTAACACGTCCCACACACGATTTCATCCCCATTCTCCCGTGCATCATTCAATACTGACCATCTATTCATCAGTCACTGCCATTCGTCCTACACTCTAAGCCTCAACCTCTCAGTCCCCGTCTGCATTAGTAATGGTGATTTGTTTTTCAAGGGAACACCCCAGGGACCGACCGAAACTGTTCTTCGGTCCTTTCATCGACGACCAGTTGATTTTTGCTACTAATTCGAATGTCCGACGAATCCGAATTTACTAACTCCCTTGTTCACTTAGTTTTTAATATTACGTGTGAATTTCTTTACTTATTGAACGGGATTAGTTGCTCCTAGAGTGTTGCAATGCAGTCGGCTCTTGTATTTCAGACTTTCTCTTTCGTAGCCCTATGTCTTGCATCTTTCTGATTGAAAATGTCTACATCCATCTTTCCGCTAGCATTAATTTCCCCCACTTATCTTGTTTCATTCAATTTACTCTTCATATATTTTCCGTGCATAATTTTTTTCTGTTCGTGGCTTCCACGCGTGTTGCACATCAACATTTAGTTAGTTAGTTTATCCGCTTAATTGGTCAGTAAAGATACGAGAGCTGACACAAAATAATAGTGTCATCATCCGGTTCGAATTTTCACCTCCTACCTTCTTCCGCGCTGATATGAACACATCTTTAGGATAGGCTCGTTACCACAATTCTTATTGTATCACCACAAATACATCTAACATTTTTGAACAGTTTACCATCTAAA